CAAAGCGCTAGCGAGCAACATCACAACCAACCCCAAGGAAAAGGGCTCGTTGTATACAGAAAATACAGTTATAACATATATATAAATCACAAATCCTATTTAGGTAATTACAATGTGAGCATAAGTACGTCGAACGAAATAATCCAAACAAGGAAACCCTCATTTATATACCATGTAGCTCAAATTGTAAATACCTATGTATAAGAAGATTTTAGTATTTAGGAAATTACAACACGAGCATAGGTACGTCGAGCGAAATAATCCAAAAAAGGAAACCCTCATGTATATACCTTGTATCTCAAATTGTAAATCCCTAAATACCAAAACCCGGAATCTAATATAGGAACAAATAAATCAAATGAATATAAAACCCATCTCTACTTCCAAACATAGTGTCATGTCGAACTCACATGAATGTCATGTCCGAAAACGATTAAGTATCCAATACATAGACTATATAGATTAAATGTCCAACACATGGACTACATGAAGTAAACGTCCAACACATGGACTAAAAGTAACGAGTGTCCAACGCATGGACTGAATATAACCAATGTCCAACGCATGAACATAATATAACCAAATGTCCAACGCATGGACTGAATATAACCAATGGAATGTCCAATACGAGGACTAAGGAAATGAGTGTCCAACACGAGGACTAAAAGGAATGAGTGTCCAACACGAGGACTAAAAGGAATGAGTGTCCAACACGAGGGCTAAATATAAGTTATGCGAAGTGTAAGTGTCGATGATATATATATTCAAAGGATACACATAGACTCATGTCACACGTGCCTCGGTGTGTGTATCGGTACTTGTGTTAAAAGTCAACTCACATGTACAGATAAATCACTAACATTGTAAACTAGTGTCAGATAATCGAGGCAACCTCGAAAAGCAACTCAAACAGATCGAGAATCTGTAAAACACCTCATTAGTCAACTCATCAGTCGACTCATAAGTCGACTCATGAGTCGACTCATTGGTCGACCAAACGAGACACAAAACTAAAAATTTTCCCGTCAGTCAACTCATTAGTCGACTCATCAGTCGACTCATAAGTCGACTCATGGGTCGACTAAGCAGAAAATTCTCAGTTTCTGTTTTCGCTGATTATTTGCAAAGATGTTAACCTAAAGTTCTTCTTCATCATTTCCAGCAGCATAAAAATGATTATTTCATATATGTAACAAACTGAAACGAAAGATCTGCATGTAATAACTTACATCAAAACCCTAAACATATTTATACATGTTTAAAAATGTATTTAAATAGTAAATCACATTAAAACTCATGTTTAAACAAATTTCCAGATCTGGATCTTAATTTACAAATTCGTTTGTGAGCTTTTAAAAAGTGAAAATATTCGATTTTAGCATCATATGCTATAAAGGTCTATTTTTATACGCAAATGGTGATTTAGGCTCAAAAAATTCGAAATAAAACCAAATAAAATTTATACAAACAGTAGATGAGAGCTGGGCGAGATGTTACTCGCCTCTGATATGCTAGAACAACCCCTGGATCCGAGAGAGAAAGATCCCCTTCGCTACACCTCGCCAAAACTCGTTAAAATCCTCCAAAAATTCCCCAAAAATTCACCAAAACGAGCTAGGGTTTGAGAGGGAGAGATGGGGGCTAGGGTTTTGAGTTCTCGGGTAGGAGATATCATATATGAGCAGTTAGACCCGATACAAAACCCAACAGACCCGCAAACTAAAAGAAAAACCCGAAATCAGCCTGACAGTCGACTCATTGGTCGACTCATCAGTCGACTCATTAGTCGACTCATGAGTCGACTCATAAGTCGACTGAGCAGATATAAATTTTTAGATTCGTGCATGTTTTGTTATTCAGTCAAAACCAATGCACGAAACTCTATGAAACCACACTCATACATGTCTAATAACTTGTTACCAAGTATATCCATGACCTCAAGTCATTTACCACAAATAGAATTATTTATCACTAATAATTCATATATACTTCTAACAAAATACGAGGTTTTACAGTAACATTGAGTTGAGCCTAATTGAGTTCTCACCTTGTTTAGAGAACAATCATTTGTTGTGCTTAATTTGTGAAGTTCACTTTGTAATACACTTGTACACCGAGAGGAGTGTGTGGTGAGGACGGAGTCGATACCGAGAAGAGTGGCGTCAGTGGCCTAGTGAGAGGTGATAATTCCAAGCACTTGAAGGAGTCGATATGTGAGGACCAACACTTGAGGTTGTTGCTTGTGTATGTACATTGTGAAGATTTGTGAGAGTTGTCGGTTGACTTGATAACAGAGTGTGTAGAGTTTTCGGTTAGCTAGAAAACCGAGTGTGTAGAGAAGTTCTGGCTTCTAAACCGGGTTGTGTAGTGTATTCTCCTCGAGAGTGGGAAGCGGGGACATAGGACGGAAGGTCCGAACCTCGTGAACATATAGCGTGTTTGGTTTGAATTGGCGCACTTATAACTGTTCATCTTATAGCCTATTGCATTTTGTTTACATTGTCCACTAGTTTGTTTCACCCTTGTGATAGTTTAAATATATCCTTGCATATACTATATAGTATATCTCATTACTAGGATATATCACCTTAGTTATATTGCTTATTCTTGCTCATATCACATTGTATATCTATCTTGCAAGAATAATTTGTTAATAAGTTTCAAATTGGCATAAAATCAAATTAGATTAGCATAAACCCTATTCACCCCCTTCTAGGGTTCTTTCATAGCGACCTTAGGGTTCTAACACAAGCTGTATATTAAGTATGCAAGATATATGGCAGTTGTATACATATATTATCTGCAAAATCCACCAAACAAATTAATCATTCTCAAAATTATAAAAAAGTAAAATAAAAACAAACAACTTCGATCTGAGGACACAACGTGGTTCAAGTAGTTCACAGTAGTGCATAATTAGTATCAAAGTTGTTGTAAAACTAATGAAGTAGAGAAGAAAAGTAGACGAGAAGGAGAGGGAAATTTTATTTTATTCGTTCTTCATTGCTATTACAAAGTGAGGTAGGAATACCTCTATTTATATACAAAGAAATTTTATTTTATTCGTTCTTCATTGCTATTACAAAGTGAGGTAGGAATACCTCTATTTATATACAAACTAAGATGATGATACATGAATCATATTAATTACTCATTCATGAACTTAGTCTTTCAAGAACATGCGTTGTGTTGTTCTAGGAAGAAGATTAATATACTTGGGGAATATCAACTTCTTGTGAAACTAAATGGATATCCATATTATTTCATAACACTCCCCCTTGGATGTCCAACATTACACAAAGAATATTCCTCGTTAAAACCTTACTAGGAAAAAACCCAGTGGGAAAAAAAATCCTAGTGAAAGAAAAAGAGTACACTATTCTTGTGTATTAATTTCTCCCCTGATTCAAATATCATTTGAGATCTTTCAACCAACGCATTCCAATATTTTTTACCAATTTCTCAAAAATTGCAGTTAGCAATGTCTTGGTGAATAAATTCGCCAGATTATCACTCGATTGAATTTGTTGCACAATGATTTCACCATTCTTTTGCAAATCATGTGTAAAGAAGAATTTTGGTAAAATGTGTTTCGTTCTATCTCCTTTAATATATCCTCCTTTTAATTGAGCTACACAAGCTGCATTGTCTTCAAACAAAATAGTCGGAGGATTTTTATTTTCAGAAGATAATCCACTATTCTTCCGGATATAGTGGATCATTGATCTTAGCCAAATACATTCTCGACTGGCCTCATGAATTGCAATTATTTCAGCATGATTCAAGGAAGTGGCAGCAATTGATTATTTCGTAGATTGCCATAAAATAGCGGTGTCACCACATGTAAATAAATAACTAGTTTGAGACCTTGCTTTATGCGGGTCAGATAAATACCCAGCATCAGCATATCCAAGCAAATTAGTTCGAGAATTATAAGAATAAAATAAGCCATGATCAATTGTTCCTTGGAGATAAAGAAAAATATGCTTTATACCGTTCCTATGTCGTTTTGTAGGAGATGAACTAAATCTTGCTAATAAATTTTTAGAAAATGATATATCTGGTCTTGTACAATTAGTAAGATACATTAGTGCACCTATTGCACTAAGATATGGTACTTCAGAACCAAGAATCTTTTCATCTTCTTCTTTTGGTCTAAAAGGATCCTTAGTAGGATCAAGTGACCTGACAACCATTGGGATACTTAATGGATGTGCTTTATCCATGTAGAACTATTTTAATACCTTCTGGGTATAAGCAGTTTGGTGAACAAAAATCACATTTTCTAAATGCTTAATTTGTAAACCAAGGCAAAATTTAGTTTTACCAAAATCTTTGATCTTAAATTCTTTCTTCAAACATTCAATCGCCTTTTGGAGCTCTTCGGGAGTTCCAATCAGATTAAGGTCATCAACATATATAGCAATGATCACAAAATTTGATCCATTCCTCTTTATGAAAACACATGGACATATAGGGTCATTTGTATAACGTTCTTTGACTAAACATTCACTAAGACGGTTATACCACATTCGTCCAGATTGTTTGAGTCCATACAAAGATCTTTGCAACTTAATGGAGTACATTTCTCTAGGATTTGATTTACATGCTTCAGGCATGCTAAATCCTTCAGGGATTTTCATATAGATATCATTATCTAATGTTCCATATAAATAAGTAGTGACTACGTCCATCAGACGCATATCAAGTTTTTCATGTACTGCTAAACTCACAAGATATCTAAATGTAATTCCATCCATTACTGGAGAATATGTCTCATCATAATCAAATCCCAGTCTTTGTGAACATCCTTGGGCTACAAGTCTTGCTTTATATCTCACAATTTCATTTTTCTTAATTCTTTTCCTCACAAATACCCATTTATATCCTATTGGCTTTACACCTTCAGGTGTTTGGACTACCGATCCAAAAACTTTTCGTTTAGCCAGTGAATCTAATTCAGATTGGATCGCATCTTTCCATTTTGATCAATTATTTCTTCACTGATATTCATCAACCGATCTAGGTTCATGATCCTCATCATCTTCCATAATATCAAGTGCTATATTATATGCAAATGCATTGTCGACAATTACTTCTCTTCGGTTCCAACTCTTTCTCGTAATAACAAAATTTATTGAAGTTTTATTTTCTTCAGGAGTTGGCTCTTCAAGAGTGACCTCTACAGGAGGTTGAATTTTATCATTAGCAATATTTTAATCATTCGATCCTCTTTTCTTTCGAGGATTCTTATCTTTGGACAAAGAGGTCTACCACGCTTCAGGCGTGCTTTAGATTCGTTAGCACTTTTAATTTGTCTTTCTGGGATATCAATTTTAATCGGAGCATTTTCTGCTGGAATATACGATTTAGTAATTCTTCTAGAATCACTAAAAGCATCTGATAATTGGTTTGCAATTTTCTGTAAATGTATAATCCTTTGAACTTTCAGTTCATATTCTTTTGTACGAGGATCAAGAAAGTCTAATGATATTGTCCATGTAATTTCCTTTTTCGGTTGATCTTTACCTCCCCCTAATGTTGGGAAATGTGATTCATCAAAATGACAATCTATAAATCTTGCAGTAAATAAATCACATGTTAATGGTTCAACATATTTAATTATAGAAAGTGATTCATACACGACATATAACCCCAATCTTCTTTGAGGGACCATTTTAGTACGTTGAGGCGGTGCAATAGGAACATATACCGCATAACCAAAAAATTTTAAATCAATGATTCGGATAGACCATTTTGTGTATGAACATGAGCTACAGGATGTTCAACACTTATCCCAATAGCCATGCAATAATCATCAAAGGTATGTGATGAATATTCACCAGCATTATCTAGACGAATTTTCTTAAAGGGATAATCAGGAAATTGTGCTTGCAATTTAATTATCTGAGCAAGCAATCTCGCAAACGCTAGGTTGCGACTAGATAATAAACTTACATGTGACCATCTTATTGATGTATCAATTAGTACCATAAAATATCTAAATGGTTCACATGGTGGATCTACAGGCCCACATATATCATCATGAATTCGTTCTAGAAATACAGGGGATTCAGTTCCCACTTTCGTGCTGATAACTTGTTGTAAAACTAATAAAGTCGAGAAGAAAAGTAGACGAGAAGTAGAGAGAAATTTTATTTCATTCATTATTCATTGCTATTACAAAGTGAGGTAGGAATACCTCTATTTATATACAAACTAAGATGATGATATATGAATTATATTAATTACTCATTCATGAACTTAGTCTTTCAAGAACATGCATTTTGTTGTTCTAGTAAGAAGATTAATGTACTATGGAAATATATTCTTCTTGGAAAACTAAATGGACATCCATATTATTTCATAACAAAAGTTTAATTATAGTATTATTATTTAAATAGAACTTTATTTATAATTGTTATCTTCTCGTATGCAACATCACCAACCAATATATATAAGGCAAGAAATTACAACGATTTCCACAGTACTTCCATCTCCTTCTACCGGTACATGCATTTGTTATTTTCTTCTTATTAGATTAGATTAAATTATTTAAAAACAATTAATTATATTGTATGTTTGATCTTTCTTTTCATATCTAGAAATAGCAATAAGTTTTGCAGTATTTTTATCTATTTTCTTCTTATTAGATTAGATTAGATTATTTTAAAAAAATCAATTATACTGTATGTTTGAACTTTTTTTCATATCAAGAAATTGTAATAATTTTTCACAGCACTTTCATCTCCTTCAATATGTATGTGCAATTGTTTTTTTTTCTAATTAGATTAAATATTTGACAAAGTATAGTTATACTATTATTATTTAAATAGATTATTTTTGTATAAAAGTCCAAGAGAATCTCACACATATCTTACATCTTAATACCAATTGTAATACTTCTAAATGGGTGTTGGTTAAAATAAATTTCATGTATGGAGTTAGATTATATGATCCTACTTTAACTGGATTAGATAATTTAATATTTTTTTCTTTACACCCAAACTCTTCCAAAAAACTAAAAGAGAGTAGCAATGTTATGGCTATATATAGTCCACAGGACCGCAGATATCTTAAAAATGAAAAAATAAAACTATACAAATAAAAATCATATTAATTACCCACATACACTCATTGTTTTCAAAACCACCATTCTCCATCTCCATCTATAATATATTCACATCTAAACCCAACTTAAGTTGCTGAAGTCTCCCCCTCACAAACTACACTATTGATCAACCCTTCTTTTTTTCCTTTATACTTAAATTGTATAACATTCATTGTGATAAGGATTCACCTAGGTCCTTTGCCTATCTTGAACACATAATAAAAAATAATGTACTAGACTTTATAGTTAGTTAATAATGAGATCCTATTATTATAAACAAATAAGTAAAGATTAATGGTTCTTAAAAATGTACTATGTTCCACTAGCTTCCACTAAAAACTAGTTAATAGTTTATTCCTCGCCCCGAGATATTTTTAAAATTAATCTTGAGGATTGCTTGCATTAAAAAAGTTATGTTGGAGGGCCCACAAAGTCGGTTTTATAGTTTAAAATTGTCAACACATTTTGTCTCTGATGCCTATCAATTATAAATAATAATATAATTTAATTTATTCAAGTATATATTAATATATTTCTTGACTCTTGTCTTCTCTTTTACTCTTTATTATGTACAAACCCAGCAATTTTTGTTCAATTCCTTCTTCTTTTATTTTTATCTCTTGACATTGTCTTTTGTTTTTCATTACGTACAAGCCCATTTCATGGATTAGGGTCATGGTTTTTGGGGGGAGAAGAAGACAAATGAGTTGATTGTGGTTGACTTTATTATTTGAAGGAGTTAATTTCATGAAACCCCCCTAAACTTTGAGGGTGTTGCACATAACCCCATAAATTTTTTTGTGTNAAAAAAAAGAAAAAAACTTTACCTTATCTCACATAGCGCCCCTGCTTATAATTTTGTGAAAAACTAAAATTTTCTTGGGAGCAAATCTTTAAAATTATAGGGGAGGGAGTATGTTGCGTCTAAACGAAAAGTGATGAAGTTTGAGATTTTTTTCACTCAAAAATATTTTACTTATTTACAAATTACATAAAGTTGGATTATGTGAGATAAGATAAAGTTCAACGGGATTTTGCAAGACACCCTACAGTTTAGGGGGTTTATGTAAGATAAACATAGATTAATGAGGTTATGTGCAACAACCCCCAAAGTTCAAGGGGGTTTGAGAAATTAACCCTTATTTATAGATAGACAATAGGTCTAGGTTGTATCTGGGGCCTAATAGAAAAGCCCAAGGCTGTTTTAATTAGGATACCACACAAACAAAAAACATTAACCCACCCAAACACTCATTGTTTCGAAAACCATCATCTATCATATCCACAACTCAAAACATCTAAACTATACTATAGTTATCATTAATCTTTAGTTTTTGTCTTTTTATTATTTTAAGTCTATCAAATAATGTAGGCTGAGATCTCATATATATATATATATATAATGTTTATCTGTGACACCCTGATTCCGGAGGAAGGAGTCGGGGTTTTCTAAGAGAGCGGCGAAGCCCTGCCGGATTGAGGAGTAAGGATTTCTTCATCAGCCCTTCATTCACCCCCCTTCTTTTCCCTTAGTGTTGCCCTTAGCGGTGATACAAAGGAGAGCTAGTGCCTCGTTTTAGCCGAGACATAAGCTTTACACCTCTGAGATCTCACGCGGATCGACGGGGTTCTGTTTCTATATCCCTTCGCGGATAGACGAAACTCTGCCGGATTATACCGGAAAAGAGATCTTGAAGAGTCGGCGGTCCACGGATATCAACATCCCCGTCACAGGCCAACAACCCACGCAAGCGAGACCGCACCAAACCGGGACCTCGTGTTTATTTTCGTTTAAGTTGTAATATCTTTTGTTTTCATTTTATTCTGTTGTAACGCTTGAAGTTGTAACAGATCTCAAAAAGAGAATATCAATGAAAACAGCGACTTTTACCGAAAACAAGCTGGCGACCACAGTGGGAGCCAACGATCTCGCCCCCGAGATCGTCGTGACGCAACCGGCCTTCAAGATCCGGGTGAATGAAGAGGTCGAATACGAGTTCGACCAGAAGAAGTTCGAAGAATACCTCTCCTCTTCCTCCTCCAGATCTGCCTCCCCGAACCGGCGCAAGAAGACATCCGCTTCCAAGAACGTTCGTGGGACTTCCAACTCAAAGAACCAAGAGCCCTCCGCTGCCTTTGCACCACGCAACGTCCCCATGTTGCTCAGCATGGTCAAGACAGCAAATCCAGCTCTCCCATCAACCTCAAAGGCGATGGATGATGCAACTCCGATTCTGTCCAAAAGGGCACTCCAAAGGCGTCGTCAACGCCTTGCTCAACAACTCGCCAAGGCCAGGGAGTCAAAAGATGGAGTGCGCTATGCAGAGGACTTGAAGTCAAGGCAGCGACAAGAGCAACGGCAAGCAATCAACCTCCCCTCCAAAACAGAAGCGAGTGAGTGGATCCGTGTCAATAGGAACCGCTCCACGCTCGAGGAGCGAATCAAGAAGCGCCGTGCTTTACTGGCGCATGCCCGACTCCTCCTAAAGAAGGCGGAAGAAATGCAGCAAGAAACGGCGGTCAAAGCGCCGACCACAAGCAAACGGGTGTGGGTTCCCAAATCGAAACCAACACTTCCAGCAAAGAAGGGTGAAACCATCGCCCAAAGCTCCTCCAAATCAGGTCATGTTTCTACTATCCCGGCACCTTCAACGGCGCCAAGTAAGAAAGGGGATCATTCAAGATCCCAGGTTCCTTTGACAGGTCACCTCGGTCCCTTACCGGCGAATCGAGGTAGAGTACCCGTCAAAGAACGACTGGGACCATTGAAAGGTCCCCAAGTTTCAAATCAGACTGGGGGTCGATTTAATCCCCCCAATAAAGAAAACAAAGGGAAAGCCCCTATCACCGACCGCATCGGATTGCGAGTCGAATTAAAAGAGCCCGTTCAGTTCATACGCTCACAAAAGCGTAAGATTGAACGGGCCACTCTTGATAAAACTAACCAAGTGTTGCATTCCCAAGGGGAAGCACACTCATCTGAAGATGAGAGTGTTATACTAAGGGACACCCACCAACACTCTGTAGGGTGCTCCAGCTATCAAGCTGATGAGTTGTACTACAGAGCTGGGGGTGTGGGTAAATCTCGAAAGAGATATGTGCAGGATATGAAGTCCCAATGCCCGTGTGCAAGTATCATCAAGACGGTGCTGTCGGAATGCCGCTGCAACAGTCCCCCAAGAAGAATCTCGGTGTTCGAGAGACTCTCCAAGCCGAGGCATTTCCACAAGAAGAAATTGCTCCGCCAAAAAGACGAGTATTCAAGAGTGTCGGTCAACATGACCGGCCGAGGGGAATCAACACCACACTTCAGCATAGAACAGCTCGCTGAGGTATCCCGGTGTATAGCACGGATGCGGCCCGGAACCAGCGGCCGGAAGGGCTACCAAAGAGTACCAAAGGGCCTCTCTCTGGAAGAAGAAGAATCAGATGCTGATTCAGATACCTGCTCCGCCGTCGC